ATATATTTTTTTAATTAAATAATTATAAATATTAGATTAACTTGAAAATTAGTATATATGATCTCTATAAATAGATCATTTGAACTTTTAAGATTGAATTTACTAATAAACAAATATCATTTTATATGTTAGATTCATAATTCAAATCTTAATATCAGTACCTAAGAAAATTAATTTTCTTAAATGCAATAAGGTGTTTTGAGAGGTATGCCCTTAAAATTGTTAGGAGAGGTTATTTTTAAGGCATTCAAAAATTGTTAGGAGATATTTTGACTTTAAATACTTAAAAAATAGATAATTTGATCCAATAATTAGCTTATTAAAATATTCTTTAGAGAATTATAATTTTTAAATGAGATTCCATGGTGTCAACACTTATATGCAGTATTATAGGGTATGTTTGGTTATAGAAAAATAAAAGAGGGAAGGAGAGGAATGAATTTTTTAATTAATTAAACTATAACATTTTCAAATCTTATAATTTAACTAATTAAAAAAATTTATCCATACTCTCTTGTTTTTTTTATTCTTTTATCTTCTTCAAACCAAGTATAATTTTTGAATAATAAAAAATAATTTTATTCATTTAAAATATAAGAAGTACTCCAATTCATTTATCAATTACATCCTTATTACATGTTAATAACAATACCCCTCCACAACCGCACTTTCTTTCCTGCACTTATCTCACTTACCTATCTCATACATTCTTTTAGATATATCATTTAATTTGTAAGTGAGATTAGTTTTTATCCATTCCCATGATATAATCCGAATAATTTCAAACACTCTTATAGCCTCTAATTCTTTCTCCTTGAATTTCTTCAAACCAAGTATACTCCTATATTATAAGGAGTCAGTATGTAAAAATAAAGGGAAATTGAATTAATTAGAGGAAAATAATACTTATTAGTGCTAATTTTCATAAAAAAAGTGGAGTCCCAAATCCCAATTTAAAAAACACAATGTAATGACTATTTTTAAAAATCAACAATTAAATTAGTTTTTTATTTATGTAAATTATACATGTTAATTTTTAAATTGATTGAATATATATAATTAGTTTATTAATATATAAAATTTATATTAATAAAATATTAAATTTAACAATTAATTTTTAAAAATATTTATTAAAAATAATATTTTTAAAATTAAAACTAATTTTTTAATGTGAATTGAGATTAATATATATGTGATATTGTTTAAGTATTGTTTAATTTAAATATGATCAAAAAAAAAAAAAATGGTAAAAGATAATGAGACAGACGGAGTATCGCCCTCAACGGTAGAGATTTGCGATATATGGTATAAAAGATTAGATTGCGCCGGCGTATGGATTCCCCAAATCTCGCCACCAATCACTCCGAGGCATCGTCGGCGCATAAAAAAAATATTCATTTCTAGGCATGAGGCATCATAAATAAATATATACTCCTATCTGCCGACGGATAAAAATTTATTTTTAATAAAAATGAAAGAAAAAGTGTAAGTTAAAATATTTTGATATTTTAAATGTTAAAGATTTTTATAAAATCATTTAAATAATTTTAATAATTATTTTAAGTATTAACTTATTAAGAATATTTTAATTTTTTTATTATTTATAATATTTTAATTGTTAAAAAATTTTAATTTTCCTTATTTCCTACAATAAATTATTACTCATGAATTTAACTTTATTTTTTGACATTCATGAAACTACTCATCAATCAATAACAGATAAATAAAATGATAAAAAATGACAATAATAAGTACGATATATATGTTTTTGGCTGGATACTAATGTTTTTTAAAAATATATTTTTCAAGTTAATTTAAAAGTATTTAATTTTGTAAGTATTCTTTTATTTTGTTTTCTTACAAGTAGACTTGAAAATTCGCAATTCCTTTACTGAAAGTGCAAAATATATATTGTATTAATTTAAGGGGGTGAGTATATAATTAATGTGCTAATTAGTGAATTTAATTAATTTTATAGATATTCTGCACTTTTTTCGTGTATATTATACACCTAAAACTTTTGTAGTATAATATTGTATCATACTAATATTTATCAATCGAATTTATGAAAAATTAGATAAAAATATTTTAAAATTATATTATTTTAATAAAATATTATAAAAAATGTTAAAATCACTTTATTTCTACTTTACAAATTAAGATGTTTAAGGTTTCTTTAATGAGATTTTATTAACATAACGTAATCTTAAAATATTTTTTGTTTAATTTTTTACAACACATTGACAAATGTACATATCAATTTTAATTTTAAAAAAAATTAAAGTCTTTATATTAAATCACATTATTTCATTTAATTAAAATTTAAATCAAAATTTAAAAATTTATCTACTTAAATTTAAAAAGTAATTATATATTTTAATATAATTAAAATTTTAAATTAAATTTTAATTAAATAAAATGATATTATTTAAACTTAAAATTTAATTTTTTAATCAAAATCAATACATATTATTTTCTAATATTAAATAAGTAAATATACATATATATTAATTTATATATAATACAATATAAAAAATCAGATTGTATTAAACTTTACCACAAAATTTTGATATAATATATCATAAAATAATAGTACAAGAAATTGTAAAACACTGTGCTATTTTTTTTTAATATTTTGAAAAAGGCAAAATTCCATGAAATTTGGTCCGTTCGTTCATCAGAAAACATTGAACAAGGAGTGGGTAAACTAATGCATCCTTCGCCCGGTCATGAGGGAGAGGTCTCAATCTTAAATGAAAAATATATATTAATTTATGCGGGTGGGTGAGTATATAATCAATGTGATAGATGCTAATTAGTGAATATATTTATTTAAAACAAAACAAAGGTACGAGGAAGCAAAAAAAAAA